GAACCCGAAATGTTCTTCTGTGGGTTTCGGGTACTGGAACCCGAATTTGATGTTGGCGGGTTTGGTTCGGTTCGGGTGAAACCGAAACCGAACCGGCTTGAGTTTTTTTTTTTTTTTTAGTTTTGTGATTTGAATTTTACATTGTAAAAAACAATTTTATTCTTATTATTTGTACATTCTTATTTTACCATTATGTTTAATTTTATGGGACATGGACAGTATAAAACTAATATTTACATATTAGTTTATTATTAAAATATTAGTTAATTATTGAAATATTTAATTTTATGTATTCTATAACTATAGACATACTATTAACTATTAAAGAGTATTAGTATTTTAGAGACAAAGTAAAATACTTAAACATATTTTATACGTAACTTAATCATATCTTATTTAATTGTGGATTTTCGTATAATTAAATGTTTTAGTAATACCATAGGTCCAAAATTGAAGGTATATCAACTATCATATGCAAAAAAATGTTTGGTGCTTGGCGCAAAATTATAAATAATTTTGTTCAACATAAAATACGACAATCATAGATGAGATTATCTTCAACTCGTAATTAAACACATTAGTTTTACAATTCTCAAATGATAACATCCAAGTAAAATAAAAATTCATCCACCATACAAGATAAATACTACTACCATTATCACTCCTCATCAGGCTCTACATCTACATAAGTCTCATCATTCTCATCGGAATTGTTGTCGACATAGTCTTCTTCCACTTGTGACATAGTAGGACTCGAGACCAAAACATGGGTAGCAGGAGAGCTTCCACTGGGTCCTGCACGAGAGCTTCCACTAGGTCCTGCAGGTTCACTTGCACTCCGAGCTTGAAAAGCTACATATACTGGATAACATAAACAATAACAAATTGTTAGAATATGACTTGATCAAGATAACAAATATAAGAATAAAGAGAAAGATTAAAACCTTACCATTTTGAAATACCACTTCATCACCCTCATCTTCTCCATCAGCCACCAACTCGGAGTCTGAAGATCTTATCCAATCTTCACAACAAATCAACGCCTCCACAACTTCAGGGGATAAGGAGGTCCTAAACGAATCTAAAACTCGACCTCCTGTGCTGAATGCCGACTCAGAAGCAACAGTGGAAATAGGAACAGCAAGAATATCCCTAGCCATCTCGGAAATAGTAGGATATTTCATCCCACTTCGCGACCACCATCCCAAGATGTCAAATTTGTATTCATCTTCTTCTGAACCCACCAATGCTCGTGTAACCACTTCATCATCCTCCTCCTCCTCAAGGTACCTATCAAACTCAGATTTGGAACTTTTTCTGGTTCCTTTCAGAATGGCATCTCTTTTCATTTTCCTGAAATCACCCCAAATCTTCCCTTTCTTCTTCCCATCCCCACTTCCACTAGGTTCTTGCACATCTTCCTGAATAACAATGGGAGAACTGCCAGGAAGCCCGAGCCTATGCTTGTAATGGTCAAACAGAAGACGCATTTCATCCTTCACCTCTTCGACCAAAGCTTTACCCCTGCTCTCACCATACACCTTTTTCAAAGCTTGTTCAAGATATTCAACTTTCCGCCTAGGATCTAATATGACTGCCATATAACACAACCGATTCATCTTTGAATTCTCCAATTCATCTTCAAACCAATACTTAGCAAGTTTGGACTTGATTCTATCAGCCATGCAAGACACCTCAAAATCTATACCATCAGCCCACTCAGATATCATAGTATACATTTCACATACCTCATCAAACAAGAGGTGTAAAGTCACATATGAAGTCCCAGAAACTCGAACAGTCAAATCATAGAATAGCTTCAGGTAATCAATCAACCGTCCCACACTAGACCAATCATCAGAAGTCGTGATACCAAGACTTTCATTTCCATATCTTTTTTCATTGAGATGTTTCTTGAATTTCTTATCATTTCTAGCTAATGTCTGAAATGCTTTCTCAAATGGCTTTGCAGATTCCAACATCAGATACGTTGAATTCCACCTCGTAGCTACATCCAACGAAACAAATTTCTTCGAAGCTATCTTTTCAAACTCAATGCAATCTTTAAATTTTCTGCTCCTAGCTGGTGTAGATTTAACCCACTTCACAGACTCTCTCACTCGCTCCACAGATTTACCAGTTTCTTTGAGCCCATCCTTCACAGCCAAATTAATAATGTGAGCTACACACCTCATCTGCAGATATTTTCCATCCAAAATATCTGATCCCCACTCTTTCAACTGTTCCTTCATATGGATAGCAACCACATCATTGACACTAGCATTGTCCATTGTTATACAAAAGACCTTCCTAATGCCCCACTCCACCAAACAACTAGCCAACTGTTTCCCAATTTCACTTCCAGAATGTTTTGTAACTTGGACAAAGTTAATAATTCTTTTATGCAATTTCCAATCTCTACCAATGAAATGAGCAGTAATGCACATATAATTGAGATTGGACAAAGAAGTCCAAGTATCAGTGGTGAGCGATACCATCCCTAAACACTTAGTCTTGAAATAGTCCTTCAGCAACTCCCTATTTTCAAAGAACACCTTGATACAATCCTCTCTAACGGTTTGACAGCTAGGTAACACAAACATTGGACAAACACGAGCCATAAACCGTTTGAACCCTTCATGTTCAACATACCTAAATGGTAATTCATCTATGATAATCATCTCCGCTAAAGCTCTCCTAGCATCAATCTGATCGAATTTCCAAGTCCCAAGAGTGTGTACCTGGCCTCCAGAAGATGATAGATGGTCGACTATCAGCTCACCCTTTTCTATCTTTTCCAAACAACTCTTTTTATGACTCCGCAGAGTAGAAGTCCCATATCTAGTGGGAGCAATAAGAACACTATTGCAATAAATGCATCTTGCTTTCTCCACTCCATCCTTCATAAAACGCTTGAAGTGTGGCCAAACGTCAGACTTTTCTTTCCTTTTTCTTGAAATTGTCTCCTCGTCTATTGTTTGAGCAGGAGGTACATTGGTGGTACCGGTAGACGGTGCAGGAGCAGGAACAGGATCGGAAGACGGTGCAGGAATGCTGGTACTCTTAGATCGTCCTCCACGTCTAGGACGAGAAGCCGATGGTGCCTCACTTCCCCTGTCAAAATGAAAAGTTGAGTTGAGTTAAAACCTTTACAGTGAAGTGTGAACCACTTAAACACCATAACAGTGTATCAAAAGAAGTGGGATTCTATGGATCTATCAACAAACAAACAAACAGACTAAGATAGATAACCATTTGTTTCAGGAGTCCATCTCACAGCTACATACGTTTTTCAACTTCCAAGGCTCAACAGATTCAGAAAATATTATACTAAACAGTTACCAAATTTTCCTTGTAGGCGCCATAAACAGACCTGAGCTACCCCGGTAGCCAGAGCCATGTAGCGCTTAGCAGACATTAAAGATCATTCATCAGGTTCATCTACAAACTAGAAATAACATAATCTTTCCCTTGAGACAGTAAACATATAACCTAATCTCGAAGGATGTTACTGCTTCAGTGCTTCGTATTTACACAGCCAAGGAGAGGAGGAGATCCCATTATAATTGAATGCAAGAGTCCCCACCACCATCCCAGCATTGTGGGAACAGCAGATTTCACAAATTTCCAAATGGGGTTTTGAACTCAGTTCTATATCCTCATATTATCTAGCGTAACCTATTAAACCATGACACTAATATAGGAACGATAACGAAAGAAAGTAGCAAATTGAGAAACAGTGGGTATCTATGTGTGGCCTGTAAAAAATTTAGCAGTATTCAATCCAATAGTTGAAAGGAAGAAAAAGTTAAAGGCAGCCTCTGCAAATCACATGTGGCATTTATTTGTTCAGAAATCGTAGGATGGACAATGTCGAACGGGATTCTTCTCATGCTTTTTGTATTCAGGAACTTCATGGCCAATGTCAAGAAGGTAATGAATGAAACCAAAAGAGAGAGAGGGTTGTGAAATGGAACCAGAGGTTGAGGTTTCTCTGTATAAACTATAAACTGCACAATATTCACTCACTGATGTAGAACCAGAACGGGGAGAGGGGAAGAAGACTATAGAAACGAGAATCAGAATCCTAAAGGCGGAATCTTTCGGATTCGGGTACAAAGATTTCCCCCTTGCCCTCTCTGGGTTTGACTCAGAAACTGCTGGCGATGAAATTTTACTTCGCCCACAACACAATCTCGACTCAGAGACAGAGAGAGACAGAGAGAGAAGCAGAACCCAGTAACAAAGAAGTTGAAGCAATAGAATTTTTCGAAGAGACTCACTGGGATTCCATGGTGGAGTCGTCGGAATAATGTGGGCACTGGGTCTCTCCTTCCCGAGGTGAAGAGCGAAGCGGCGAGGACGATGATGGCCGGCGAGGGATTCGATGGCGGTCGGAGGTCCTCACGAGGCCGCTGGCGGCGAGGACGATGATGGTGGCGACTGGCGAGGGAGCTCTGTTTTGTTTGGCAAAGACGAAGAGACTGCGCCGGCTGCGCCTGCGAGAACGAGAGGTGGAGGGAGTCGAGAGATAGGGCTGAGGCCGACTCTTCTTCCCCAAAACGACAGCGTGAGATTTTTCGGTTTTCGGGTTGCTCTCGGGTTTTCGGGTTTCAGTAACCGAAACCGCCATTGTGGAGACCGGGTTGAACCCGAAAAAACCGAAACCGAGAATGCAAATAGCGGTTCGGGTTCGGGTTAAACCGAAAACCCGAAACCGAACCGACAGGCCTAGTGATTACTATAAACATAATAATCACCGTAAAATTGAGTAATCACACTAACCTATTCATGTCTCGTATTGTATATATGTTCAAACATCGTCGATTATGAGATCAAGGATCGCAGGTAGGCAATAAGATTCAGGCCCACAAACTCCTTCCCCATTTATCTTGGGCTTCGGCCCTCTCAGCTGTCTAGGTCCAGCCCATATCTAATTCCCGGCGCCGGCCGCCGCTTCAGAATTAAGTCAGGCAGCCGGGATTGAGAGAAGCTCCGCCATTAACCAACAATGGCATCCACGCTGGGCGTGCTCGAAGCTCTCCTCAGAAACCCAGGCGCCATCGCCACCAAACTCGAAGTTAAACAGCTCCTGAAAGCCCTTCTCAAGCGGCCGGGCGCAATCACCTCGGCATCCGAAGCCAAGCAGCTCCACGCCCAAATCCTCAAGCACAACCCTTCTTCACCTCTTTACACATCCACAGCCATCTGCGTTTACTCCAACTTCAAGCTCCTGAACCAATCCCTCCTCCTGTTCAAAACCCTACAGTCCCCGCCTTCTCTCGCATACAAATCAATCATCAAATGCTACGCGGTGAATGGGCGCTTTGTTGAATCACTGGCCTCTTTCGTAGACATGAGAGCTTCCGGTAACACCCCTGATCACAGCGTGTTCCCTTCTGTGCTGAAAGCTTGCGCCTTTCTGCTGGATTTGAGATTGGGGGAGGCGGTTCATGGGTGCATTATTAGGTTGGGAATGGACGTTCATTTGATTACTGGGAATGCACTCATTAATATGTACGCAAAGCTGCAGAGTTTGGCTGAGAGCGAGTGGCGGGAACGTGACAGGCGCAAGGTGTTCGATGGAATGTCTGAGAGGACTGTTGATAATCTATTTGCAAGCCAGCTTTCGCAGGAAAGCGAGGATGATGTGGGTATTAGTACCAACACTGTCCTGAAGCGGTTTGTAGATATTTTTCCTCAGCTTGGTAGTTGCTTAGACGGTAGAAGTAGAACTGGTGCAGGAGCGGATAGCAGCGTGAAGAAGGTATTTGAGACGATGACAACAAGAGATATTATTTCTTGGAACACTGTAATCGCAGGGAATGCACAAAATGGACTGCACGAAGATGCTTTGGCGATGGTTAGGGAGATGGGAGGTGCAGGGCTGAAGCCTGACATATTTACTTTGTCAGCCATACTTCCTATCTTTGCCCAATACGTGGATGTTGATAAGGGAAGGGAGATTCATGGTTATGTCATTAGATATGGCTTTGATAAGGACCTTTATGTTGCTAGCAGCTTGATCAACATGTACTCGAGGTGTGCTCGAGTGGAAGACTCGATACGTGTGTTCAAGATTACTCGTCAACGCGACACCATTTCCTGGAATTCAGTTATTGCTGGTTGTGTGCAGAACGGTATGTTTGATGAAGGCTTGAGACTCTTCCGGCAGATGTTGAAGGATAATGTTATACCAGGGAGTGTTTCATTCTCCAGCATCATGCCTGCTTGTGCTCACTTGACCACGTTGAATTTGGGAAAGCAGCTTCATGGATACATAATGAGGTGCGGATTTGATGATAATGTTTTTATTTCTAGTTCATTGGTGGACATGTATGCCAAATGTGGTCATATTAGGACCGCTGGATGGATTTTCGGCGGCATAAAGGGTCGTGACATGGTATCCTGGACAGCAATGATAATGGGTTGTGCTTTACATGGTTATGCTGAAGATGCCATCTCATTATTCGAGCAGATGAAATTGGAAGGAATTCGACCAAATCATGTGGCAATCACTGCGATCTTAACTGCTTGCAGTCATGCTGGCATGATAGATGAAGGTCGAAGGTACTTTGATCGAATGACTGAGGAATATGGTATTAGGCCAGGGTTAGAACACTATGCTGCAATGGCAGACCTTTATAGCCGGAAGGGAAAGCTGAACGATGCTTATCAACTCATCAGTACCATGACCACACCCACCGGTACGATTTGGTCCTTGCTACTCTCGGCTTGTAGGGTCCATAAAAATGTCGACTTGGCTGAGAAGGTCGCAAGCAAGATTTTCGAGGTCGATCCAGAGAACATTGGTGCTCGAGTTCTTCTGTCCAACATATATGCAAATGATGGCAGATGGAAGGAAGCTGCAAAGGTACGGATGACCATGAGGAATATGGGGATAAGGAAAAACCCTGCTTGTAGTTGGATAGAAGTGAAGAACAAGATTCATACTTTTATTGCAGATGATAAGTCCCATCCGCTGCATGATGAGATAAACATTGCTCTCTGTGAATTGCAAGAGAAAATGGAGCTAGCGGGGTATGTTGCTGACACGAGTGAGGTGCTGCATGATGTTGATGACGAGCAGAAGAAGTACTTGTTGTATGGTCACAGTGAGAGACGGGCGATAGCATTTGGCATCATGAGCACGCCCGCTGGAACAACAATTCGAGTTATAAAGAACATCAGAATATGTGTGGACTGCCATACAGCGATAAAGTTGATCTCGAAGATAGTCGGGAGGGAGATAGTCGTCAGAGACAATAGCCGTTTTCACCATTTCCGAGATGGTGAGTGTTCATGTGGAGAATATTGGTGAACCATATTTGTAACCTTCATCAGGCCACATTGTGAACAACTGTGGCAACGCCCATGTTCGTTTAAGAATGCCTTCCATTACAGCCAAAAATAGAATGAAGGAAACATTTGCGCAGAAAGTTGTATCTCCCTTGGGCTAATGCTTGGCATGGGAATCCAAGCTGCTCTACTGCACACCAATATGCGCCCTTTGGTGCCCTCTGTAGAACCAAATGATAGAAACTGAGCATATCCAGATCCTGCCTCACTGTCACTGAGATGCCGAGGAAGAAATTTGCTCACCTAGCTATCAACTTGCCTCTGTCTCTCTAACACACTAAGGTCAGGGCTTTCACTCCATGTAAATGAAAACTCTTAAAGAAAACATTTTTTGTGATCATAATTGGCAATCCATAAGCTTTTCTGGATTCCAAGTGCCTTTTCTCTTTTGAGTTTTGAGTGAGTGAATCTAATCTTCTTTTTTGCTTTTAGGCAACAGTGCTCGATTTCCTTGGAGCGGAAGGAGTGGTTCGAAGTTCGAACACCATATGATCACTTCACTGCCATAAAGAAATGCAGTTTAGTGTTGATTCAGAGGTGCGGTTTGAACTGTGAACTGTGTTTGGTCCATCTCAAAGAAAAAGGCAATCACATACTGAGAGAAAGGGAGTAATAACGAGGAATGAAGGAAAAAGAAGCATAATCGCAGGCACCATAAACCACTGGGTTAAAAGTCTGAATGGTTGTCATCACTGCAACTGTATCATTCTCTCCTCCGCCTCCAGGGTCTTTCCAGGTCTATTTTGTTGCTCCGGTTCTCTCCTCCGTATGTTGTGCATCCGGCTTGGTCGTTCAGGTAGCAGGCTGGTCTATATGCTTTTTGCTCAGGATCATGGTGGTTCACTGGCCCTTATCTGGCTAATCTCTTAGCTGCACGGGGCGCTCTACTGCTACTTCGGAGGCTGACTCAGTGGGCCAATCGTTGAGGGAGACTCCCAGGTTCTTGTTGGTCAGCTTCAGGATCGAACCATCTGCGATGCTGTGCAAGTGAATTCATCCTGCCAGAGGTTTTCGATGGCAGCATAGCACTTTCAGCTGTCCATCAGCTGCAAATTGCCCGCACATATAGTGACACGAAACGCCCTATTTGAATACCTTTGTGTTGGTTTTTCTTTACCTGCTTAGCTGGGTGGTTGGTGATATACTGTAAGGTTCTATATCTAACCATAATCTTTTGATACATCGATGAAAGAGAGAACCAAAATGGTTGCAAATTGGTCACTAGAACGTAACTAAGTTGTCGCAACAAGTCCATATTGTCAACGAAGGCTAATCGATTGAATCTGACTCGACTCCAGCAGCAGCGAGAAGCATGAGCAGGCGTTACAGCTACTGCGATTAAAAAGCCGAAGAGATGAATCCATAACTTTCACTAATTGGACTGGATAGTATTTCATCCAAAATGTACGATGTTAATCTCTAGTCAAAGTTCTGTCGCAACAAAAAGAAACCACATGGGTGGAGGTAGTCCTACAAAATCTCTCCCCTTGACTGCTTGCTTCACCAAGCTCTGCACCTCTCGAAGAGGACGTGGCGAAAATGAGTAAAGTTAACACACCAATGGGGAAGAATGAAGATGGCTTCGTTGTATGAGATGGTAGTTTATCCCTTAGTGCCAAGGATTCCTCTTTCCTCTTACATCTCTCTTTGAGCTAACCGATCTCTGCTATCAACAAAACATGAAGACAGCAGTTTCAAATGTCAAAACCGGCTCAGAAAACAGGAAAGAGATGGATCAGTTAGACATCATCCACATTCAAACCACGTACCGAAGACTTGGATTTCTTTGTCTTGCCGCGGATCCTGTTCCTTTGGGGCTTCAGTTTGTAGATCCGCACCATCCAATGGTGAGTGGTGAATACCTAATTCCACAATTCAACAACATCAAACCAAAGCATACTTGACCTACAACTGCGATTTGGGCATTTGAGGGGAGAACTAGGAATGAAAGTATCAACCAACCTCTTCGAAATGGGTGAGTTTGAAATGTTTCTTGCCTATTTCTGTCCTTCGTACTCTGTCAAATCCTTTGCCATCTGTTTCTACAAACCTGACCATCCAGCACTTCAGTTTAGTTACAACTAGCATGTAATGAATCTGTTCCCTTTCAACTCGATGAATATAAGTACCGGTACTGCTATGAATTGGGATAAAATCTGACCTGAAGTACGACAGTTTGTACATAAGACAGTTGAGCATGGTGGGAGTAGCTTGAGCGTCGATCCGGTATTGTCCGTCTCTCTTGGGATACAAACAAGCAAACAGGTACTAATGGTTATGGCCACTATCCAGCAACAGTTTGGGATGTCAGCATACGCAAGTTGGAGAAACTTACCAGGTAATCAGGTTCTTTGATGTGAGGGAACACACCGCCTCCAATGCGAACCATCCAAAGGAACTTATTGATATCATCACTAGGGTAGCCAACAACACCTGTAAAATGAATATTTACTTTAGGTAAGCTGATTCAAAAGGATTTAAGATTAATGCTGCGCTTAGAAGATGAAGGCTGGAAGCACACCTCCAAAGACTACTAGGACATATTTCACATCCAGTGAATGGAAGATCTCCCAGGCTTGCTTCTCAGGGGATGACATGGCTGTGCCAACAGTTGCGATATGAGTGTTGTTCCAGGTGTTGTTGTCGACGAGAACAGTGCGGTTAGCCATAGCAGTTGTTTGATACCCATAGTCCCACCATGACGCGACCTACAACAATAAAAAAAACAAGTGTCATCAGGTCAACCATCCAGAAGACATGTAAACATCCTATTTTTCGACAAATTTTAGCTGATATTTCTTATGCTGTCCACATGCTGTTGCAAGTTTCCACAATGAAGTGACATTCTGAAGCCAGTATGTCTGCAAATCAATGAGAGGAAAAGAGAGCAGGGATTAATCATACTTTATCATCCACGTCAGTATTGTGGCTCAACCATGAATAGGCCTCTCTAAAATCATCAAAAACATGCAAGCCACCATCATTTGAGTGAGATGTAAGAACAATGGAAGGGGCTGAATAAGCTTCTGCTGCTGCCCATACACAATGAACCTGTACAGAAACACAAGATAGATTCCAATCAGTTCTATATCCCCAACTCTAGCCCACCTCTATTTGACAATAAATACTTCGCCAGAGAAGTGCAGAAAAAAACCACGATGCAGATCTCTATCCTTGAAATATAATATTTTAAACAGAAACAAAGTGTTAAACCTGACCAACCATCAACAACCTTATTTTTCCAGGTCTAACTTGGTTATTGTACTTAAATTAGCACATTTGCATGTTTGTATCTAGGAATCTATTCAGAAAAATTATGGACGTTTTCTCAGAGAGAAGTGGGGAGCTTCGAACAGATATAGGGCACGGAGATTCATTATAGAGATTTACTTTAAATCCTTCAAAGGAAGAGGTTACATACCACGTAGAAGGCACCAAGCAATACAAGCAAGAGAACAGCAATGACTGAGGCTTCCAGAGGTAAGACAAGAAGCCTCTTCTCAGTTTTGGATGGTGTGGGCTTCTTCTCCACATTCTCCTTTTCTTTCTTCCTATTCTTTTTCGCTGGTTTTTCTTTTGCAGCTTCTTCAGTCTTTGGTATGTCGTTTGGTGCTACAACAGTGCTTGAACCATTTTCTTCTGACTACAAGATGAAAATGGTTTATGAAATTTCAATTTCGACTAGAATATCAACAAATGACAACTGGAAGTACTCATAATACGCCACATTCTTACAGCAATGCTGGGGTTCCCTGCTATACCAGGTAGCTGAAACTTGATTGATCGAGTCAAGACATTAAAAGCTTCAGACAGTGCAATGCCAGACAAGATGCATGCTGCTGGAGCAAGTACAAGCATCAACCGTACCTAAAACATGGATTAACAAACAAACAACTCATAAAGCTATATGAGACGGACAAGAGAGGCAAATACTAACTGAAGGAAGATGGGCCAGAGACTTTTCCTACCATGACACCAGAGAAATAAACAGAAGTCACAATATAAAGGATGACAAAAGAGCTTGAGTCGGTTAAGGGCATGAAGCAGGCCTGCAAAATGATATATAAGCCGCGTTGAGATAGCCAAAGGTGGTAATTACTGAGAAGACAAACTTCCATTAAACCAGGCAACTCACAATAATCCCAGCAGGAACCAAGAAAGCTAACACATTGATGTCCATGAAGTACGATGGCCAAGTAGGAGGCTGATGTTCACTAACACTAGCGATAATTGGTATATACTTGCTTGCATAAGTCCTGTCATATTCCACACAGAAGAAGGTTGAAGGTCAGAGACACAACCCATGAATCCATAGACATCAACCAAGTGATCAATCCAATCAAACACGACGCTCTCATGTTTGGCCACATAATGGTCATCACATTTTGCAGGCTGCACCGTGATGGGAGGCATTGCTGCTAGAAAGACAAAAATGATCCAGTAGACTCAAATGGAGATAATGAACCAGAAGTTACATACGGATCAAGTAGAGTTAGACTTCGCCCACTCCATCCCTTTGTCGGGCTGGATGCCACCACTGCTATCAGAATTGCTATAACCGCACAACAGACTGCTCTGGAAAAAACAGAAAATAGACAAGCAGTGGCTATCAATATCATTTTCATAATAACACATGAGAAGTCCTGAGACAAATCAAAATCAAACTTTTCCTGCTGCAGTCCTCATCTCTATAAGTATTTATCTTGCAAATATAAAATATCATGGATGATAAGAAAGCTTACAGGCCAACAGACACAACAAGTGTCACAGCAACTTTAAACATTTTTGGGGAGAGGATCCCTTTGATATAGTATGCAAGGGCCACAACATGGATGATAATGAAAACCTGCACAAGTAAATAGTAAGAACTAGATAGATGACACTGTCGATCAACTAAGATGAGGAACAGCCTGGGAAGCAACGAAGACAAGGATTGACCACCCTTATATCATATCATGATATCAATTCTTACTCGTACGAGATACATCTAGTTCATGTACTGAATACAATCCTTACTGGAACAATTAAGTGCCTACACTGACAACATGTCTATAATGTGTCCCTCCTGATATCAATCAATTCCAGAATTCTCTCTCTACATTATCCAGAAGGACAGGTACTGGGTAGAATTATTGACTAACATATGGTGCCCTCAATTCTAGAGCAAGAGAAGCTGATGTCATGCACATAACATGAAAAGCAAACAATGACAGAGAAGAACACTAAGAGGAAAAATTAGTAACAATGCAGAGATCACACTTGCCAGAAATGAAGCGAAATGTTCTGATGTCAAGACAGCATTAAAACCAACAACAGGCACCAAAGAAGCTAGCAAAGTACCCAATACCACCTGCATGGAGAAATCATGTCATTAAAAAAATTATCCAATTTTCATCCATCAACATCGCATGAAAAAGTGATTTTTAAATTGAAAAATACAAAATATTTCATATTAAATGGCCATGAAAAGACTATATCAACATCAGGTCGCACTCCATGTGGCTCTATAACTAGAGGCAAAAAAAACTTATATTTTAACATAATGACTCACCTTGAAGAGTCACTACCAAATAAAATGATGGAACTATGATAATGTGATTGTTTTATTTTCATTTCTCTACAACTATGACCAGAAGTTCCAAGTACTTACAAGAGGTGCATAAGCAATGTACAGTCGAGAAGAATAACGACCCGTTACAATGCAGAGAAGCACGTGCATAGGAATCAGATTAATAATGAAGGTGTAGCCTCCCCATGAGCAGACCTGCAACGAAACAATACCTCAGCAACTGAAAATATGCAATGCGTATGATTGTAAGCCAGAAAACAGTAGAACAAGCTTACCATGTAAAAGTATGCCAAGGCATTTAGAGTAGCATAGAAAAGGGACCCCGTATTCAGCGTCTGCCAATAAGTAAGCATTGATTAAAAAATAGCTTATTAAGCTTAAGGAGAGCTAGGAACAGCATAAATTATCTGACAGCTTATCACAAAAACACTAAAAGAAATACCATTCTGAACAACTAACCTTAATATATAGATAGAATGTGAAGACTAATGCAAATATAGCAACTGCTTCATTGTCGTAGCTTCCTGCCACAGACCGAGATATGTATGATGGAACCTGTTGTAAGAACAAAGAAAGTAAATAATCAAAAAGAACTGTGATGTTGCTAGTTAGCATGATCTCTAACACGTTATATGTTGCAACATATCAATAAGCATAACTCAGGAGAAATTAAATTTCAAAATTTCCTTATTAATAGTAAACCAAGGGTGGGTAATTGTCTACAGGCCACCTAAACAGGACCTCTCCGGAGATAACATAATCACATTGTAAGATGCCCAGTTGTTCATTTCAGAATCTAAAAAATATTTACAAAGAAACCATATCACAAGTACCCCGTAATATAATTTACCATGGCCAAGAGAGCAGCAGCTGTGAGTCCAGCACCAGGACCCTTAACTTCCTACAAAAAGAGAGGATTTTAAGGTTTCCCTGTAAAACACCGGTAATATACTACACCAAGACATTAGTCAGACAGAAACAAACCTTAGTCAATAAATAAGCTGCCCATGAAGCGAAGGCGGAGAAAATTGGTGCTGTGAACACACAAACAGTCTCTACTGACAGAGGAATGTTTAAGGAATTGACGACCCTGTTAATAGAAATTAGAAAGTGAGAAAGAAGCCCATATAGAACTCAGTTATGCAGAAAACTTTATATAAATTATAGTTCTCCTGGTACAAACACCCAACTTCCGTAATGCATAGATCGTGGAAAAAGAAACTACAAATGGCTTATTAAATCAAATAACTCACTTCCAAATTGTGCCAGCTGTCAAGGTCAAACCCGGATAAACAGTTCCACCAATTACACGGCCAAGAGGATACCTTGTGTGAAATTAAGACAACAATGAGATTTCTTCAATTATATCATACAATGTAGCGACCAAGAAACATAGAACAAATATTGAGAAAACTCTGTAGCATCAATCATTCCAATTACCATGTTCGATCATCAAACCAGTTCCAGAAGTCGTATATCCCATTCTTCGACAAGAACTGAAACCACGAAACTATTCAGCAATCACCCTACAACCTGTGCATTGTGCAATAGTGTACTACTCATATCCAACAATACTAAGTAGAAAAAAGTTCGTTGCAAGTCATGTTACCTGAGTAACTCGATAGTTGAAGTAGGGATCAAACTCGTGAATCACACTCTCATATTTTATCACCTGGAGAACAGCACAAAAATCCGTACGACTACATCAACTAACTATATAACCACATCAAGTGCAATACTCCAAAAGCGAAAGATGATTCTCCTTTTGAAGCAAATTAAAAACAGCACAGAACAATTTATCAAACTCCAGACCAATACTAGACGCCATTCCTCAGTTCACTAATTCACAGTCTTCCTATCAAATACTTCGGAAGAATGCCCATCACCAAACTAAACTACATGCAAAAAGCTCCTTCACTCAAATTAAGCAACTTCAACTGCACAAACGCCAACAGAAATCACACAGCCCTCGCTCTCCCCCCCACCCCACCCTCCATTCCGATCATTCAACCACAACGAGCACTAAACTAAACTCAGACGGAAACGAACGCACCAGCTAACAGCCTACATCAGAGCGGATCTAGAGGGAATTGAGAGAGGAAATTACAGAGAAAAGGCGGATCGAGAAGGCGAGGACTCCAATCAGGACGAGTATGATGAAGGCGATAACGCCGCCGAACGCATTCCGCAAACTCTTCGATGCCGCCCCCGCTGTCATCGTCGGGCCATTGACGGCGCTCTCTGGACTCGCCATCGCAGAGAGTGAAGAAGAAGAAGAAATGGAGTGGAAGCAGGGAGCTCGGCTCGGGTTATCTGGAGAAAATGGAAGGGTTTTCTTCGCGGCTGAGTCTTCGAGGGGAGAGACGACTTAATTAATCAGAGAGTTTCCCACTGTCGAGTCTCTTTTGCAGGCGGAGCGGAGTGCGGGACTGACTGAGAAGCTCCGTCGCAATAGACTAAACGGAGGCGGCGGTGATATGCGGGAACTGCGATGGGAAAGCCAAAGTGAAATGACGGATCTGGGCCTGGGGGTTATACTGTTCTGTCCGTTTCACAGTCTCCACGTGGCTGGCGTTGGTTGGGAGGTAGTGATGGACGCTGCGATTGGTCTGGGCCGACGTGTTATTCCACGTGGGAGGATTTGATTTGCTGCTCTAGTGAGTTTACCCGGGTAGTTGAATTAGTGGTTCGCCCGGGCTCAGTGGCGTAGCCAGGATTTTATGTAAGGTGGGTCCGAATTTTTTTTAATATCCACGTGGTTCATTGCAAATTTTCTTTCAACACTTGCAGTGTAGCCTTAGTTTGAGTCTAAAACCCGATTTATTGAATTCATTATTAGGATAAAAAGGATCTAGTGAGTTTCAACAAAATGAAGCTTTGGCGATAGATAATGGATACATTAAGAATTTGAAGCTTGGAGGATGAAGTTATATTTTATGCTAATATTATTTATGTAGAAACTAAAATGTATTATATATAATGATGATAGCTAAATTCATGATATAATTATTGTTTGATGGTAGAATATTGATCAATATTGATGAATTTTAGGTGAAAAAACTCATTGTCACTTAATTATTGTATTAAAGAGTGAAAAACCATAGCGTACTAGTGGTTTGATAAGAAAAATCTCATGCTGGAAGCGAAATTGATAGAAGATATTAGTGATATGAAATGGTTGAACCATGATTAAACCACATTTTCAACATAAAATATCCTACCGTTGACTTGTCCGATACAACCTTCTACCACTATTAACCTAGACGTACATATTTTCTCCCGAGCCAAGGTGGGTCCCGGGACCCACCTTGATATGCACTACCTCCGCCACTGCCCGGGCTGGTCAACTGGGCATGGTCTGGTTCATACTCGAAGCGAATCGATACAAAACTAGATTAAAAAGTGAAAGAATAAAATAGCGAAAATACAATTTAATAGCCAAACCTTTCGTCTTAAGACACAATAATAGTCAAACATTTTTGAAAACAAATTATTGGCCAAATCGTCAACTTTACGTCCGGTCAACCGTTAGTTGACTCTGACATGGCAAGCAACTGTCCACGTCAGCTCATTTTTACTGATGTGGCAACTAATAAATAGAGTGGCACCTAAAGCTCTGTTGATGTCCTCTTTAGAGGTAGCGTCCTTTGATTTTGTAGGGTGGCTTCACTAAGTGTTGCTCTGGGTGGGGTGTTGGGTAGAGGTTTCTAACTATTTTTACTCTTGTCATTACTTGGAAAAAAAACTAATAAATAGAGATTCATTTTATTTTTAAAATTAAATAAAAAATGGGAAAAGTACAAAGCCTTATTTGTTCACTCTCTCTCTCTCCCTCTTCATTCTCTTCCACCTGTTCTCCCCGTTCGACTCCCTCTCTCTCAAAGACGAAACCTCTCCTCCGGCGAAACCCAACCTCGTTGCCCACCACAAAACCAAATTGAAAAGCGTCGCCTTCATCCCTCCTCATGTGAGCACTGGAAAACGCGAGCGCGTCTGTTCGTGCATTTCCAAGCCGGAGCTTTGGCGAAGGAGACGATATAACACTGCGAGGGAGACGATGGAGCGCTGGCAAGCAGGCGACGAAGTGCTTGCGAGGAGACGACGGGGGCGCTGACGAAGGAGACGATTGATTTAGGTATGGATGCCCTGATTTTGCTTTCAAACCCTAGGTTCTCTATCCCCATTTGATTGAATGTTCCTTATTTTATAATAGTGCGATTGACGAAATCTGGTTTGTGAGGACCACAGGGGGACCACTGCAGAAATAGTCATGAAATTGACCTTGCATTACAAGGTATGAAAGTAGAAACATTGGATTTAACTGTAATTGTAGTGCGAATGAAAAAAAGCCATCTTACCTGGAAAATTATCACGCATACAAATTTTTGTTTCTTCTTTTGATATTCCAGATGATGGAATATTTGGATATTTTATACCACCATGGTGGGGTGATGGACTTCTCGGGTTTGGAACCACGATATGTTGGTGGTTTTTCAGAGTAGATAGCGGTGGATGTTGATGAAGTGTGTTACTTCGAGCTTCTGAACGTGGCTACAATTTACTTGAAGTATGTGGGCGTTCGAAAGATATGATACTTGACACTGGAGGCTACAATGGAATATGGTATACATGAAGTGCATTTCGATAAGGATGTGATAGAAGGGTTGCTTGTTGATGCAGCCGGTACTAGGGATGTGTCCGTATTTGTAGAGGCTGTCGAGGTGGAGGATGGACCGGTGAGAGACAATGAGGAACCACACTTGTTTCAAGGTTTGCCGAAAGAAGGTGAGGATATTGGTGAGGGGGCACATGTCGCATGTACAAGGGGTAACAAAGGTAGGAGGGAGTTTAAATGCAAGGATGTGGCTTGTGATTGGAGGGTATATGTTGCCTGGTGGGGAGGTGGTGCAAGTTTCATGGTTAGGCGAATAGGTACGCCTCACACTTGCTCTCGGTCTCTTCGAGTAAACTTAGTGACTACAAGGTTCCTTGCTCAACATTATTTCGAGCGCCTTAGGGTCAATTCGAAGTGGGAGCCTTGCCATATTGTTGAGGAGGTGAAGGCAGAATTAGGGGTCGATGTTGAAGTAAGAACTTGCTACCGAGCTAAGGTTATTGCATGAGAAATGTTGCATGGGACCCTCGACGAAGAGTATCAAAAGTTGAGAAGTTATGTGGCTACTTTGAAGAGGGCAAATTAGGAAGGACGATTCATTCTAGATGTTGTTCCATATGGGGCAGCGGATATGGTGTATTACAAATTTTGCCATCGGGAACCAGTATGTCCATGTATGTGAGAATGGTGTCAATTAGGCTTGTTTTAGCTCTGTTTTACTTACATTGTGATAAGTAATAGTCACCAATGATTATATTGGTTGTAACTTTTCAGTTCCTGAGGGTCGAGAATCATGGAGTTCATACTTCTGCAGAAGCTGTTGGTACCCAACCAACTGAGATTGACGCAACATAGGGACCAACAACTTAGCCTCAGTTGGATTTACTATTATCTACTAGAATTTTTATTAGTATAGCCAACTTAGAAGTTATAGTTTAGAAGCGGACAATATGAAGTTGAGCTTGTGATGAATTGAGCCAATGTAGTTTGATTGGCTCTCTTCTACCGACTTTTGCATTTTGTACGAGTTCACTTCATAGTTGTGTTGATGGAAAAGATATACTCTGTAGACTTGACAGATGTGTTAATGTACATATCATTTGCAGACTCAATAGTTGTGTTACATTGGTTTTTATCGTCTTTTTTATCCTTCCAGTCACGACATCTCTGATAATGTCAAGATTAAAAAAGGCAACACCTATTGCAAATCGAAGTACATCATACTCATTGCAAATTGAGGTACAACACAATCATTGATCACTTAATGGTACACATTAATCACTCATTGAAACCATAAAAGTACAAACAAACCATAACGACTAGAACAAATATCATCACATTCTTTATCCGCTTTCAAGAACATCAAACACATTGCTCATTTCCTCAACTCGATTTTCATTCTTGTGGGGTCCTCCCTGATACTCATCAGCTCTTCTTAAAGGAAATTTTTAGCCTTTTCCTCCTTTTCTGCCTTCATTCGAGCAATCTTACAACTCTCTTCCATTTCAATAAGTTTGGTCTTCAGCTCACAAGGAGAGGGAATCTCATCGACTAGGAGAGGCTGGGTGGAGGGCGAGAAGGAATGGTCGCCGGATGTAAGGGGAGAGGTTGCGCGGATGGGGAGAGATGAGAAGGAATGACCCCATTTTTTTATAAAGGCTTCACTTTTTAGGGGAAATTGTAATATTCGGAAAGTTAAAAACTTGGAAATAGATTTTATGACGTGTACAGTTACCTACTTTGTCAGAGTTAACTAACGGTTGATCGGACTGAAAGTTAACGATTTGACTAATAATTAGTTTTCAAAAAGGCTTGCCTATTATTTTGTTTAAAGTGAAAGGCTTGGCTATTAAATTGTATTTACCCAATAAAATATGTGAAAAGAGAATTGGAAGGTGCATGAGTCTAATCCATATTTGGTTCATTTAGGTGGTCTTGAAATACGATGGGTAAACACTAAATTATTTGTCGAATCTTTTCTGCAGTCTTTTTTATTAGCCAAATCTATTAAATTAATAATAATTAGTATAAGTGGTTGTCCGCGGATGAGGATTGGAACAATGTCGATTATGTTTGTGAATTCGTAGAGTTATTTAATGACATCACCACAACTATTTCATGAACAAACTACTCGACTGTTAACTTGTTTCTTCATGAATTATGGACTATCAAGATACCATTGAAAGACACCTTAGATTTAGAGAAGCCAAATATGAGGTTTATGGTTGTCAAAATGCTATAGAAGTTTGACAAGTATTGGGGAGAAACCAACTTGGTGATTTCAATCGCTTGTATCTTGTATCCAAGAAATGAGTTCAAAATGCTTGAGACATATTTTCTTGATCTTTATGGCAAGGAGGGGCTGATAATAAGATTTATATTTCGATAGTTCGTGACAAAACTTGACGAGCTCTTTGATAAGTATGTGGAAGAGTACAAACCTAAGAATGTTGGGAACTCATCTGAGCATGAAGTTGAAATGGTTTCCACTTCTTTTGCTAGTACCACAAGTGGTAAACAAAAATGGGAAGGACAATATTTGATTCCATGGTTCAAAATGTAGAGTGTGTTTCAACAATGAAATCTGAACTTGATGTGTATCTTCGGGATTATCTACATGGTCATAAGGGGAAAGCACCATCCAATGTCATTGAGTGGTGGAAGGAGCAATGCCCTAAGGTGCTATCAAAGATGACTTGTGATATCATGGCAATTCCAATCACATCAGTAGCTTCAGAGACTGCTTTTAGTGTTGGAGGAAGAGTGGTTGACAAACATCGTACATCACCGGGGACAAAAACCGTTCAAGCTCTACTTTGCACTCAAGATTGGTTAAAAGAAGCATTATCAGTTGAAAAAGACTATTCAGGTAATTTATATTTTTTCTTTCTAAGTTTCATGTATTTTCATTGAACTTACCTGATTATTTTGATTTCTTGTAGATTGTGACCAAAAAAGAAGATACTGTGGAGATTGACTTTCTGTAATAGGACCATAGTTTACTTATATAAATTTCAGTTTAACTAAAGGTAAATATGTTAAAAGAGTTGTCGTTGGTTGGTTTAATAGTTAATTGGTTGAGTAGGAATTGATAGTTGTTGGTTGGATTAATATTTAATTGGTTGTTGTGGGTGTTTTGGAGGAGCACTTCTACTTAGAGGTGGCAATTCTCAATCCAATCTACCAATCCAATCCACCAATCCATAAAAAATATCCACCAAATCCAATCCATTTAAATCCAATCCATTTGATCCAAATCCAATTGGATTGGTGGATTCATGGATCAATCCATGGATCCAAATATTCATCAAAAATCCATGGATCCAAATGACAAATTACGGTTTGGTACCTATAATTTTTATATTTTACATTTTGGTACCCAAAATTTAATTTTTTATACGAAAAATATCATTGGAAAATTACGTTTTGGTACCTAAAATTTTTTATTATGACATTTTAGTACCTAAACTTTTCACATTTTTACATATTGGTCCTTGGTTGGTGATGTCATTTGGATTCATGGATAATCCACCAATCCACTTGATCAAATCCATGAATCCACTAATCCATTGAATCCAATCCACTTGATCCATGGATCCATCAATCCAATCCATGGATCAATCCATTTGCCACCTCTACTTCTACTATGCTTTAAAGTACAATTTGAAATTGTACCATAACGTTAAATATACCAATTGAAGTTGTACAATAAACGAATTTGACATTGACGAGTGGAGGAATGTGCTTGCTCTTATTCAACTATCCTTTATAAACAATAAGTTGTATCATAACATAAAAATACAACTTTAGTTTGTACCATAAAAGATTTTATATAAAATTATAGATACAACCAAAAGTTGTACCATAACATTAAAGATACAACTTAAAATTGTACTATAAAGGCAAAAATTATAGCACCAATACTTTAAAGTGTAGTAAAATTCCACATTTTGGAGTTGTTGAAACTGCCCTTATTAGGAAAGAATATTCACGGAGCTGTTTATATGCATTCTTCTTGCTAAAGTATAGGCTCAATAGGTTGCTTGTTTCATGATAGATTTATGATGACCATCCTTTCTTTTTTTTTTTTTTTTATATTTTGGAAGTGAATTAGTCGTGGGAGGATTGCTTTTTGATGATTCAACTCTGGGAAGATTTTTTACAAATAAGCTGTGAAAAGATTAATCATTACCTACTATATCCACTATGAACATGAATCTTGTCTTGATATGTAATTATGTCAAAATTGTGAAAATGCTTAATTATATTGATATGAACAACATTATCTTGTTAATATGTTAGTGTATGAAAGTTAACTGTAATTTTTAGTTCTAGTGTTCTTTTCATCATTTAAATTCTTATGGTTACACATTTTTCAGCATTAATAATTTCAAATCGAGCTCATTTTGGTTTCAAGCCGACCCGAACTTGTACTCAGGATAACAAGCTATGTTAATGAGCATTTACCGACGTCTATCGAGAGGAGCTCAAACTATATTACTTTTATTCATATCGAGCAAGAGCTCGAACTGAAAAATTTATAAACAAGTCGAGGTCAAGATAAGCAAAAACTCGACTCGCTCGATTTGTTTGCATGTGAGTAGGGATGATTACAAAACCCGAACCCACGGGTACCCACCCGACCCAACCCGGTCA